CCCCCCCCTCTCTCTCTCTCTCTCTCTCTATCTCTCTGTAACACTTAACTTAATTGAAAATATTAACTAAATTACAATTCGCATCTAGTAAATATATCTTTTATTATTTTATTGGGAAAAGGCTTTATATATTATATAAGTTGGACAACTTATGCCCAATCCCTTTTGTATATTAGATGCAAATAAAAATATGTTTCAATCAATTCATGTGTAATCTGTTTACACATAAAACTTACATTATTAACTGTTATACATTCTTAGTGTTACTAATAGATTACATTTAATAGAATTCGTGCTGGGATCCGTTAATCAGTTTAAATAACTTGTACTTATTACATATAGACTGTGTCTGAGCAATAAATATCTTTAAAACATGTAGCCGCTTTAGATCCCTATCACACAGGCGGATACACACAATTTCAAATAGTAGGTCCTATAGATGTTCAGCGAATCATCGTGTGTCTGGACATCTTAGTTACCAGTAAAATATCCGAAATAACCATTTATTCGCATTAATGAAAAGGAAATGTCACTCATAGCAAACTTCGATGCTTTTTGCTTAAATAATGCAGTTGCTAACCATGAGGTATCGAGAGATGTGCTAACAGTTAGCTAATTCAATGAAATGATATTTTACCGGCCACTTTGTCATTATATAAGCACCTGTTACCTAGGCCACTCTCAGTGTTAAACTTTGATGTACTGATTATAACAGACTTTTTTTTATTCGCTGGCACGTTTTTTTCACTTTTCCAAATAAAATACGGATCCATTAGTATTATTTATATCATAAAATCACAAGAACAGAGAAAGGAATGGTCATGTTGACACTATTCATATTCTCTTACTTGTATTTGTGCAAAATTGCCACGTGCCATTTTAAAGAAACATCGTAAGAAAAAAAATACACATCCATTTATCTGTCCGTGATTGTTTTTAAAACAAACTAATTTATTTCTGCCATCTGACTCCGGAAAAAATAGTGTTTTGTATCTATGATGTTACAATCAACTTACAATGTATGTGGAATAATATTGTCATTTTCTACATTTTTTACATTATAATGTTCTTTTTACAGTAGACAATATTATGTAAATGCATACATACTTCACATAACTTGAACATGTACTAAATAGTACATTTTTGTCCTATATCAAACACATTTTTTAGTTGTTTGTAACGATAAATATATTTTAGCACATCTGACCATAGAACACAGAATGATAATATTGTAGAAGGAAGATTTCATTTTGCCTCGAACAATAGAAATCTGGTCTATTACTCCATAAAATTAAACCGGTCGTTTCTGTCTCGTTTGAGTTAGTTATTATGAGGGTTAACAGGCGGTGAAGGAGAGATAACTCGTCATGCTTAACCACGTTTGTATATGTGTAAACATATTTTAGGTCCCTGCTTTACTGTTTTTTTCAGTAGTTTACATTAAGGTTGAGCTCTTTTACTTTTTGTAATCAATTAATTTGCTGTTCCACGTCACAATACTGATACTAGCGTGAAACGTGAGATCTTTGACATAGCTTCTGATTCATAGTCTAGTCACCCTATGATAAACCTCAAACTAATTGCAACACAAAATATTTCTGGTTTTTCATACAGGTTGGTTTATACTGTGTAACAGAAAAAAAATCTACAAAAATCGAATTTTGTGAAAATATTTTTTTTCGCCCGAAATAGGATCAAGAAAATAAGAATAAATGCTTACTGGACCAACATTGAAGTGTAAATATCAACCTCTTGTGTAATACTAAATAGGAGGAAATAACTGTATTAAAAGACCAATCAGTGTACAATACAGATTAGCCAAAAAAATAAATAGGAACCATCACAATGAAAAAATATCGCACCATGAATATTGCTAAAAGCATTCAAATGTCGAACATATTAGCTTTTGTTGCATTTTTGAGACAAATTATATTAAGTTAATTAACATCAATATCGATACTGGCTTTGTAGAAATGCATTGAAAACTGATTTGTGTATTAAAGTTTCATAAATGAGAAGTTTTTCTTTCACATATTAGAATTTATGAATGTTCAAAGTTGGCCTGCGGGGCTGACTGGGAGCTGTTTTAAAGTCCAAATCGAACAATATTTCAATTCATGCATGTAAGATTTTAACAATATTTTCAGCAAAATACTGAAAACAGCTCTATATCATTTTCTATGCAAGTTACTCTTAGCAATAATGCTATCTTGGTTAAGATATCTCCAAATAATGAATGAAGTCAGGTTGATGAATACCTCACCTCGTGCAAATTTGACTAAACCATTAAAAATGGCTAAGTCCATGATTTTGGACAACAGAAATGTGAATATTTTATGTGTGTTTTATCATATTGCTAAATCATTTGGCAGGAATTACCACCATAACATGGTCCTCTTGATTAGGGGAAGTAAGGTTAAATTTGTATCTTATTATTTTAACAGATCATTTTTTTCTTTCACACAATAGAACAGAATGGGAGGATAACTAATTTTCAATAAAATGATGAATTTGTATGAATGTTTAACTTCAAATTTATCTCACAAAAACATTCGTTTTATTATTGCATTACTTGCAAAATCATTTATAAATCGGACAAAACTGGTGCACAAAATATAGATTTTCGTTGTTCAGAATCATGGACTTAGACATTTTTTCAGTGTTGAGGCAAAATTGCATGCAATGAAGTTTTCACCATCAGAGCTTGGACACATTTGTACACTTATCTTACCAAAATAACCATTTCCAATAAGTTCTGCAAACATACAAATGGATATAAAATGCTTGTAAGCATTTGCTTGTCCTTTTTCAAATTACATGTTACAGAAATAGGTAGATTGTTTATTTTGGACATAAGTTAACACCAAATCGGCACATTTGGTCAAATTAGATTGTTGAAATTTTTTTTTGTATGTGAATGTACCATTTTTCGTGCATTAATATTAGATAAAGTGTGATGTTTTAAGAAGCTAGATATCGACTCATAAGGTCACTGAGATTAAGTTATTAGTATTTTCTGTATTTAAATAGAAAACAAAAGCCAATAATGTCAAGCTCAAAATGCTTTTAAGCCATTTTCTTAGTTCAATAATTTTTCAATGCAAAACCTCTGCTGTAACATTTTGGTAAATCTGTACTATATTTCAGTTGGTCTTGCTATATGGTTAATCTTATATATCCAGTATTGTAAAAGAGGTAGATATTATACTTCAAAAGTGGTCAGATATGTGATTTTCCTTATTTTCTTGATCCTATAGAAGGTAAAAAAATGATTTTACCAAATTTTGATTCCAGTAGACTTTTTTCCTGTTATAATACTGATAACTACCATTCCAAAAAAACAAAAAATTAATTCTGTTGCAATTAGTTTGAGGTTTGAGCTGATTTAGCGTAGGGTGACTAGACTATCATGGTGTACGGGAGACAACGCTTATAAAGTAATATTTGTTATCTCCCTTCCCACAGTACTCTCTAGTGTACACATGTGTATGTTTGTTGTTTATTCCTGACACTTGCTGATGCAACCGAGAGACTGCTGCAATGCCTTGAATTCCTTTCATCACTTCATTTTAAAAGATGACCTGTATTTAGATTTAGTGTACCTTTATAACCATGTCTTAAAGTCCTGGTGCTAATCTACAGGAGCAGTTGCCTGTTTTAGTTTTTCTGTTTATATACTGTGAATATTTTAGGCTGTCAAAATGGACATACAAGAAGTGTTGAACTGTGTGTTTTCGGCTTGGTATCCCAAGTTTAAACACATAACAATTAAGAGGTTAGTTCGAGTTTACAATGTTATAGAGTACTAGTAGACATTAGGAAAACAGTAGAAGGATTTGTTCAATCCCCCAACATGAAAGTCAAAGTTAAATGAAAGTAGTTGTGAACATGTATATAATTTTAATTTTATTGAGTTATATTTTTTCTAAAGCTCATTATGCTAATTCAATATATTGATGTAAGAACAAAAGATATGAAAATTATGTTGGTCTTTTAAAACAGCTCATACTAGTCTTGGTAAATAGGAAACAGTAATATGTACTTGGGATATATACTAACCTCTCTCATCTTATTTGATTTTAAAAAAAAGTGAATGTCATTCAATTTAAAAATATGCATTATTTTTCCTTCTCTTATTATTATACTTAAAAAAGTAATGTCAGATTAATCGCAATGCAATAATAAGAAATGGCCTAATTGAACAGAGAGACGGATGAGTGATAAAGATAACAGGAATATCTTTGTTCTGTAGCGGACCATGTAACTCAATTGGTAGAGTGTCCATATAGAGATTGGAGGGTCCCGGGTTCGAACCCAGGTCTGGCCACTGTATTTTCTCTTTCTCCTGTTGCAAAGTTGGTGAGCTTGCCAACCCTTGTTTCAAGCATTGGGAGTACGCTTAGCAATAGGGATACATGGACTTAGGATGTAAATATTTGTCTTTTGGGGTGAAGAATTAGAAAAAGGAGGGAGGAATGTAGTGGAACTGGACTGGGTCGAGCATCGATGTCTATGTAACTCAATTGGTAGAGCGTCCGTCTAGAGTTCAGAGGGTCCCGGGTTGGAATCCTGGTCTGGCCATTACATTTTTTCTTTCTCCTGTTACAGTTCTATACAATACTTAACATTTTGAATTGTTTGCCTTTCCAGCAACATTCTGCCTCTACCAAAGGAGTTTCTGGACTATCTTCAGGCTGATGGCATCGTTCTTCCAGAACAGTAAGCATGACTTGTACATGTATATATACTTCGGAGGTCACTGATCCATGATCACAAGTAATTTAAAACTGTATCTTAACAGCTTCTACAGTCGGTGCACAGGGGTTCATTACAAATGTCTGAAATACACATATGCTATTGTAAAAGAGGTGGATTAATTAGGTTGCCTTACAAGCGTCAGCTGTAGGGAATTTCCCTTTAGCTTAGCGTTAGAGCATCGGACTGGAGAGCCAAGGGTCGCGGGTTCGAGCCCCAGTGACGGCACTATTTTTATCACTATTCCTCGTCCTATTACAAATTGGTGCCGTTGACCCTCCACGTTCAAGGACGAAGAACACTTGGAGGGGAGTCAAAGAACCTGGGTTGGTGTTTGAAAAAAGGGGGGAATAGTGTAAAAGATGTGCATTGATAAGGTTGCCTTACAAGCGTCGGCTGTAGGGAATTTCCCTTTAGCTCAGTGGTGGAGCATCAAGCTGGAGAGCCAAGGGTCTCGGGTTCAAGCCCAGCGACGGCACTATCTTCATCACTATTCCTAGTCCTATTACTCTGTACTGATATTGGTGTGCTGTGACCCATATCAGTATAGCATATGTGTATTTCAGACATTTGTTACACATCCCTGTGGTCGGTGTTATCAAACACACAATATATTTTTTTTTTAATAAGTTCTGATTTTTTTTGACATTTTAAAATCTCTTTCAGTAATACCTAATACGCAATTTTCCTTTATAAACTGTCAAACAAGATAAGTAGGCTTTTACATAAGTGTGCATTGCATGCCAAAACATTAACGGTACAGTGTTTTAGCTAAAGGACAAGACAACCAATTTGGGTAGTATGAGTTCGTTAAGATATAAATAAGCAACACCCATGTCACCATGGCAGTGTTCCTTGTTGTGTTAGTGGAGGATATGCCTTTCAACCATAATATAGAGTTTCTTAAGATTGGCTTAATAAATAAAGATGTAATATGAATTCTTGATCATGTTAAATCAGTTATCATTTGCAAGAACAAAATCAGTTATGTCTTGTATTTCACAAAAGTTGTTGATGAAAATTGTTTTATCATATTTTAGATGTGTGGCAGCAAGTGGAAAACATGATGAGGATGATATTGAGGGAGAAGAGGTAAAGAAATACTGTAGTAAAATATTCTGTTATATAGCTTTACACTGGCTGGGCAGGGTTTTTAGTAAACTAGTGCATTTACTACAACAATACAAGGTAACACAGAAGTGAATTACATGCTCGAATAATTAATGAATCATCTTTTGTTGTTTCATGCAACCTGCAGGAATACCGATAGACAATTTTACCATGAATAAATAACAAGCGTAGCATACATAGGAACTACATTGCAGCTTTAACTATTGTATTGTTATTGTGTCTAAAGTTGACCATACAGTTGGAATTGTTACTTTATATACTATAGTCCAAATGGCAAAACAGCATATTTGACTCATTTTATTCACTGTTTCTATGAAAACTATTTCAAAATTTGATACAAACATAGATGGGCATATTTAGGATAATCATCAAGTTATCTTATTAAAAGATATTTGTAGTACACAAATTCATAATCTTTCATATTGTTATTATTTTTGTCCAATACCCTGATGAACAATAAATAAAGTTCTGATCAATGCTTAAATACCAGAAAATGGACACCCTGTCCATTACATACCAATATGATTCCCTCTGTCTTCTAAATGTGTGAGTTACCTCCCTTCCTAGCAGGCATCTTTTAGGCTTATGACATTCTCAGGAAAAAAACAAGGGAATTGGCCTTGCAGGCCTAGTATTTATGACATGTACATTATATACAGGTGAAAAACTTGATGATTTAAAAAAAAAAAGTTTCTTGTGTGTTTTGTTCAGCTTGATGTTGACTGGGATTCTGCTGACAGCTCTGAAACGAAGGTATGTTAGTTATGCATACTAATTGTTTTCCTTCTTTACCATCTGATAATAACAGTAAGGGTGAATGAACCATTTTAAAAAGCATACGCAAATAATATATATTTGTTAATGACTTGTAAAGTAGCCTTCCATAATATACCACAAATACACAATTTAAATTCAGGATCAGGTTTTATATACACATGTAATGGTAATTTTTCAGATGCCCAGTTTTCCTGAATTTGAGAGTTTGATAAAAAAAATCATCAAGAACCTGGGAGGTTCTGTGTTTCCAAAGCTTAACTGGAGTGCCCCAAGGGTGAGTTACATTTGTTATCAAGGTCAAAAATAATAATTGTTATTAACTTTCCTTGTTTGAAAGCTCTGAACATTGAAGTTAAAAGTAAACATACATTTGATTGATGACTATATGTTTGCATGGTCATTGATATTCATACAGTTGTGGGATCGCTCAAAGTCACACGATGTGCGGTGTGCGCACGACGTGTGCACAGTGTGTGAATGATGTGTGCACGAAGTGCGAACGATAAAAAATTGGACGATCATTGCTTGCGGACGATGGAAGAACGTTGTGCGATAACGATCGTGGTTGGTGTAAATTGAGGAATGCCTTAACAATATATACGGTTTCATGCATGTGTTTAAACACATAAACTTGATTATTTAGTATGTTTCTATATTCTAGCTACATCTAAAAGCTCATCTTTCTGTCTATACTTTCTTAAATTTAGAAATGGTTATTTTTTTAAACTACCAAAATCGACACATGTAAAATTACAACACAGTCTCGGCAATACAGGTAAATATAGCCACTTTGTACCTGTACCTGGACCGTAGTTATCCCCCGCGGGGGCCACTTACGTAACTCGCCAAGGTGTGAAAACCAGGTGAAGGGGAGCTATAGACCAAAACGAATGCAAATAACATCCAGTTATGTTTTCATAACGGTCATACATATAAGCTCTATGTGTCAGGCACTGGCCTGGTAAAACTCTGGTCACTCAACAAATTGTTATTTACCTGTTCCGTTACCTAGGAGCTTAACCCATTCTTGACAGCCAAAGGTCACTGTAACACTGTAACACGCATTATACAATTGTACATAATCTTAAATATTGTGGAGAAATTACAGTAATATATAGTGTACATTTTTGCATACGAGCCTTCCGTATTTTTTTCATTCCGTAATATTGATAAACAAATTGTACCAAATCGCACAGTTGTGCGGAGAAAAGCGCACAACGGGGCGAACGATTGTTAAATCGCACAGTTTTGCGGACGGTGTGTGAACGATGTATGCATGGTGTGCGCACAGTATTTTTGGTGGTGTTGTGCGGTCACACAACTGTACAAAAAGTGTGCTACTGCATTTAATATCTGGATTGATGAAATATATTGATAATTTAGATTGAACAGGATGTCAATGTATTCAGTGAAGTTACAAACTGACTTTCAGACTCTTTTGATTTGGTAACATCTTTAACTCATTCACCCCTGAAGATACATTTGAACTCTTCCAATTCAAAGTTTGGAGTAGTCCATTATTGAATTTCAAGGGTGAATGAGTTAATGCTGACATGGCAAAATGTGAGGATACATTTTATGTGCCGTTGTTTTTAAAAATATATTCTCAAATTGCAGATGGCACATGTCTTCTCAGACACTAAGATAGAACTTGGTGAGGGGGGGTGGGGGGCACTAAAAAGTGCTTAAATGGGTGAGGGGCACTTATCGGAGCATGTGTGTATACATCATGATGAATACAACATATTTATTTTTGCTGTCTGAAATTGTGAAACAGTTAATAAATATCCCATATTATTCCTCTTTGCTGAAAATATTTGAAAAATAAAATGACTAAATTGGAAAGGCCATCTTTTAATTATTATCTGCATATTGTGTGGGTTGTCATTAATGCTAATGACACATTTAGGTCATTATTTCTATTTTCAATTTTTTACAAACACACCAGGATGCCACTTGGATTTCCTTTGACAAGACGTTACGCTGTACATGTCCAAGTGATGTCTACCTCCTATTGAAGAGTTCCGAATTCATCACACATGATTTAACTCAACCGTAAGTTGGATGTTTTGATTTGATACCTGACCAAAAAAAATGTTGACACACAAATATGAATTTTACAATATTGATGCATTTACATATATTACGTATAGCGCTTCTCCAGGTATAAGGGAAAGAATTACACTGGTACCTCCCTGCACCAACTGGTGCATCCACCATCTAGCCAGGTAGAAATTTCTCTGTCGATACTCAACGATAAAAACTAGTTACATGTACTGCTTTAGACAATATGGCATAAAGTTATGAAAACGATTAACTTTAGCTGATAATTGAAGAAAATTTATTAGATTTACCAGACAATCACACAATCAAATCTTGTATATTTCATGTACCGGTAATCAACGTTTGTACTTGAGATGCAATGTACTTGCAGGTTTTCACATTGTAAGGATTGTGAGAACAAGAACAATGTCACAGTCACTTATGAGCTTGTGCTGAGGAAGTGGCAGAGCCTTGCTTCAGGAATGGAGTTCCGATGTTTTGTCCGAAACGGAAAGTTAGTAGGTGGGAAATATCAATTTTACTCTTATAACCAAGGAATGTGTTTCCTAACAGATGTAGCATGGCTGCAGCCTCATGCATCTCATTAAAATATATAACCAAGAGATTGCAATTGTTTTTGTTACGAGTGTCTTTGGAAGGTCAGCATTTGATATGCATTGTATTTATTTATGTAAATTTGTACATGTGAAATGATCACACAATTAATCACTGTAAGTAACTTAATATCAATACGTGCATATATGTGTGCCTGCAATTGATCCGCTGTATTTACTAATGATCCTGATGATCATTATATTATCTGATTAAAATGTATGTGTCAAACATGAAAGCACCTGAGAGTAAAACATTGTTGTGTTGTTTCCAGCAATCTGTCAGCGAAACCACACAGAACATTATGAGTTTATATCCAAGATGAAGGACGAGATAGTATCGGACATCAAAGCTTTCTTCTATCACATGGTGGCTGGCAAGTTCCCTAGTAAAAACTGTAAGTAATGTTTAAAGGTGGCTGGCAAGTTCCCGAGTAAAAACTGTAAGTAACGTTTAAAGGTGGCTTGCAAGTTCCCTAGTAAAAACTGTAAGTAATGTTTAAAGGTGGCTGGCAAGTTCCCTAGTAAAAACTGTAAGTAATGTTTAAAGGTGGCTGGCAATTTCCCTAGTAAAAACTGTAAGTAATGTTTAAAGGTGGCTTGCAAGTTCCCTAGTAAAAACTGTAAGTAACGTTTAAAGGTGGCTGGCAAGTTCCCTAGTAAAAACTGTAAGTATTGTTTAAAGGTGGCTGGCAAGTTTTGTAGTAAAAACTGCAAGTCATGTTTAACCCTTTCACAATTTAACTGTAGACCATAATGGATTCACCCAGATCAATACATGGTAGAGTCTACTAAAGTTACATAGAGGGGTGAATGGGTTAAATGTGTCTGTCAAGTTTGAAATTTTAAATCATGTACAAATTCTTAGAATGACGATGTCAATACTATTGTGTAGTTATTGTTATTAAGGGAGGTTTATTGAAAGGTTATCACTTGTCGTTGCCTACAGTTCTGTTTAGTATAGTTTATGTAAATGTATGTGAAACTTTTAAGATAAGAGGGTAGTGAAGCTCATTGGTGGTACCCAGAGGACAAAATATTAAAAAAAAAAAAAAAAAAAAAACCACAGGAATACATGTATTGCAAAAAGAAGAAAAAACCAGAAGTGAGTTCCATTATCAGAACACTACTTAATTTTCTTACCAAAATGTCGGTCAATAACATTCCAATATGTATTGTTTATGACCTAAGTTTTTTTGTAGCCAATGTAAATCACTAATGTTCATGTTACTGGGAAAAAAAACAGAATAAAGTCACATATTAAACAGAACACTAATGGTATTCTGGCACATTACATTAACAATACTACATTTTCTGCTTTTCTTTGATATTAGGAATCAAATGATTTATTATTTTCTAATGTGATAATTCATATTGTTTTCAAGCAATAACATTAAACTAAATTAAGATGATTGCAGTTGATATTAACTCATTCACCCCTGAAACTTCATAAAGAACTATTCCAACCTTTGAATTGGAAGAGTTCAAATGTGTCTTCAGGGGTGAATGAGTTAAAGTCTTGTTTATCTGATGATTAATGGAATATGTATGGCTTTTGGAATTAGAGATATCTGAAGTTTTCCTTAAATTCTAGTCCTATCGAGAGATTGTGTGATGTTCCATAAGACACAAATACAATTATAATCTATAAAATTAAAAGACAATAGATACATGTACCAGGTAATTTGAATTTAATTTAAACTATGACTATTGTACATGTTGTTTTAACTTTCAGATGTATTTGATGCCTACAGAAGGGACAAGGTGAGTTTTAGATATTGAATTTGAAAAAAATAAGGCTGCATAAAAGACAGGTAAACAGATGTAAAGTCTACTTTTGAGAGTCATTTTGTACATCTCAATTGTTGTAAAAGAAATTGACGAAGAAAAAAATGGTCACATCACCATATTAGATGTCTGAATATATTTGGATGGGGAGAATCTCACCTTATACATGCACATTGGGTAAATTGTCCTTTTTCTATTGAAATAGTTTTAGTAATAAAATACAAACATCTCACAAGCAGTTCCTTTTGCTGGGAACACAGGTATACGTAGTAGATTACTGTATAACACAAATTGTTCATGGGTACTTTCCTTTGTGGTACACATTTTTCGTGGATATCCTATATTAACAAACAGTAGACACGTATATCATTCAAATTCGTCGTATTTATTTTTGTGGTTCAATAGCAACCATGGAAACCACGAATGTTTATACACAACGAACATTTCATGTTATACATTGTAAAAATCTCACTTAAGCAGAGCTCATTAGTTTTATTAAGGTCCATTACAGGTGCAATTTGTGTTTTCCCAGTTGTGAATACTTAAATTGATGCTCTTGCCATTTTGAAATTTTAAAGTAAAGGATAAATCACTGTCTTGGTATATTGTGTATGGTAAATAACTTCTTAATGGCTTAGTAAGTGAAACTCACCACTAACTGATGCTTGACAGTACAGTGTTCATTACCTTTACCTTAATGGCAGGGTCTCATCTGTGATTCTTTGTCCAGTGTGACGTGCAAAGGAAGGAAATGACTCTTTGTCTAGACACCCTTTTTTCTCTGTTTCTTTGAAGACTTGTCCCCTGACACCAAAACTCTATCCATAAACGATGAATCACTGTCCCCCTGTCCCCTAACACTTATCTACTAACCCTCCAACCAAACCACTGTGACGCCTGAAAGCAAACCTCTAACCCCTAACATCAAACTGTTATGACTGAACCCTGAACACCTCCCACTGAGCCCCTTACCTCTAACACCAGACCAATAACACCAAACCCAACACTCCATACTGTATTCTACACTGAACTCATATCCACTAACCTATGTGTTCTAGCTTCAACACTATTTAACTTTTGACCAAACTAGATCAGACTCATGATCATTTGAGTTTGAGAGTTGAGAACATTTTCAAAGTGAGGAATCTTTGTGAAACTAGACTTTAAAGTTATTTACTTTTTAGATACTTCTCTATATTACACCAAAGATAGGCGTGAGTGCACTTATGCAGTAAGCTTGTAATTCATGACCATTTATTTATGGTCTAAGCCTGCCAATATCTGTCTATGATAGTGTATATATATGCTGAAATAAATGTATTTGTACATGTACTTGTATATGTGTGTAAGTGTGTATGAGGTGTGCGAGATGTTTCCTTCATGAGTTACTTCCCCTTAGCCTTGTGTTAATATGAATTATGTTGTGTTATTTTTTTCATTTGCAGCATGTCTAAAATATTATGTCTCCTTGTTTATTCCACTTTGGCCATTTGACGGAGTCAGTAAAATTTGATGAAATGAAAATATATTACACCAAAGATAGGCGTGAGTGCACTTATATGCAGTAAGCTTGTAATTCATGACCATTTATATCTCATCAGGGAAAGCTACTCTTGATAGACTTCAACCCTTTCGGTGCTGTGACTGATAGCTTGTTGTTTTCATGGGACGAGCTCGAGGGATGCATTGGTGAGAAACAACAGCAAGGACAGCAGGAAAACAACGAGTTACAAGGATCGACAGATGCGACATCTTCCATGGACACACCAGACGATAAGGTACCAAGAAAGAAACTACTACCAGTGTATCTAACCTATTTAAATCATTGAAATGTTAATGAATAGTATTATACTAAGTACATTGTACACACTTTGAAAGAAGAGATGACTAAACAATATCAAACGGGGAGTCTCAGCAAACTTAATCCAGTTAATAGGTTTCAGTCCCACTAGGTGGGCTGTTATGGTATGGCCAGACTCGTCAATTCCATTTAATAATCCATCAACTGGGGTAGGCAGACCTTCACTGAACATCCACTAGCAGATGTTGGAAATCATTTTCCCTTATATTTAATACACACTTGTTAACCTGAACATCTAAGTTTGTCTGCCATTTTAAACCTCTTTCCCCACCACCCCATTAGGCAGAAACAAATTTTGATCTCTTTGAAAGTTTCAAAAAATTTCTGAAATCAAAGAGAGATACTAACCGATAGGATTGATACTTATTGATAGGATATTCTCTCTATACACTGTAGCTACAGTCATTTACTCTTGGGAATTTGTTTCTCAGGAACCCATTTTTCGGTTTGTGGAACATCCTGAGGGAGTGCAGCCTCATCCTTACTCCTGTTTCGGTATTCCTGAGGACATCAAGGACCTTACCAGTGGAGAGGATCCCTACAAGTTGATGGACCTGCTTAACCTGGTAACTATATAATCTGTCTTCCACAGGACGGTGTCACTAAACTGTACTCTTTGTAAGTTTGCTTCTCTAAACCATACGCTCCAAACATTTAGCTTTTCTTAGCTTGACTCTCCATACAATTAGCCTCTCTTAACTACATAATGTGCAATGGGTAACGCACTCGCCTTTTACCAATGCGACTAGGGTTCCCCAATCGGACCTGAAAAAGTATTGGGTCACTTGCCTGACCAAGTGAGTTTACTCGGAGTATGCTGGTTTCCTCCCACATTAAAACCACCCTTGAGCCAACATCCGGCCAAACAAGAGTGATTTATATAAAGTGAAATAACTTGTTTCATAATTGTTATAAAATAAATAACGTTAATTATATGTAGGCTCTCAGAACAGTAAGTATCTCTTATCCTTCTATAAAACTAATGTCACTAAGCTGTACTCTCTGTAAGTTTGCCTCTTTAAACTAGACTCTCCAAGCATTGAGCCTCTGTTTATTAAGCTCTTTGAACAGTAAGTATTGCTGAACTTACCTCTCATTACAGTTAGTAGCACTAAGCTGGACTCTAATATCCAAATACGTCTCAAACAAAGGATTCCAATTCTCTAAGGAAAAGTTAATTGAAAATCTTGAGTGCAAATGTTTAAAAGTATTTCTGTTGAAAAGAAGATATAAATGGACTATCTATGCATTAATTTTCCATGAAAACATATTGTTTTTTTTTTCTGCAACAGAAAATTCAGCAGCAAGGACAAGATGCCTCATCTGATGAGGAGGGAGATTGATGGTCACTGCTGTACATGTAGTGAAGGGAAGAATACTGATGTAGTGTGATGCACAGAGTACAAGAACAGATCAGAGGCATGTCGGAGACTGTTCGAATAGTAGCTGGTGGTTATCCTCATTCATTGTATGACTTCTGTGTCTTTACAATGCTCCAGTCCCCCTTTCAGCTTGGTCACAGAACGTTGTAACTAATGTGAGTTGGCAAAATAATGTCCAATTTCAGTTTTACTGTATCTTAAAATCATGGAGGTTGGTTTATAATACGAGCATTATTTCACACAAGGTCAAGTTGTCGGCTTTTGTTATAATTTCCTGATAAAGGCATGACGAAGGCATTATAAATACAGTGGCATTATAAATACAGCGGCATTATGCATTCAGTTACACTTTAACTTGGTTTGTAGTTATGTTGTGTGTTACATTCTGTTAAGAGTTATTGTCCTTTAATTCTGAACAGGGTTGTAGGCAAATCGAATAACGTATATTAGCACATTATTATTATTTGTCTGCATTCTAGTAAAAAATAAAAGTACTGGTACTATATGCAGAATTATAGATACTTAAATCTTCACTAATTTGAGAATTTATTGATACTTTAATTTTATATACATTATCAATTTGAGGTAGATTTTCAGTCAATGAAATGTCAAACAACCAATATCTGCCAGGTTCTTCAACATTATAATGACCTTACAACTCTACTATAACAACTGTTATGCCAGTGTCAGAAACTCATAGCTAACTTCAGTTTATATAGGGTAATGTGGAGCAAATGTAAATGTTACATTGTTAAAATTAATTATACATGTATTTGATATTGGTAAAAACGTAAGAAGGCCTGCAAGTATCATGTATTGCAAATTATTGTTTTTATATTATGAATAAAATGTTTACAGATTATGGCGTTATTTCCTATATCTTCAACATTTTCTTACTCAACTAGGAGTCAACTTTGAAAAAATTTTGAAAATTTTGATGGATTTTGGTGACTTGTGTTTTCATCTGTATCAGTATAAGTTAACCAGTGTATTGTGCCGGTAATGAGCTCATGGGGCCTGATACTTAACTTCCTTAGAACGGGGTAAGCATGTCCATTAGGCTAACCAAACTAGTCCTTAGAGTGGGACTTACATGTCTACATGTCTGACAACCATAGTCCTTTGAGCTTGGTAAGCACTCCTACTAGTCTAGCCCATCTTCACTAGCCAAGTGTTCGCTTCGTATACACTCATGTAAGTGTATACGAAGCGAACACTTGGCTAGCGAAGATGGTCTAGCCATGTAAGTCCTAAGAAAGGGTTTGCCTACGTATTAGTCTGGTTATACTAGACCGTAGAATGGGATTTCATGTAGCAAGTCTCCTAGTACAGCCACACTCGTCCTTAGAATCGGGTACTAGTTAACACTTTCACCACTGTAGACCATAATGGACTCATCCAGATCAATCCATGGTAGAGTCAACTAAAGTTACATAGGGGGAAAATGGTTAAGAATATATTATCTGTTGCAGTCAGAAACGGTAAATTTGTAACGATACACAGAGTTTTATAGGAACCTTTAGTACCACTCGTGTGTTCTTAATGGATGAAATTGTTATATAGTGAAGTATAAATGTCCACTTTGCTTGGCATCTGCATCGACTTAATTTTCAAATAGGCGCTATTTTAGTTTTATCTGTACTATTTTTTATATTTTGTTCCTTATTATTCGCCTCAAACGTAATTGACAGTGGTTTTAACTCATTTCATCCGGAAGGGCAGAATGCAATTCATTTATTTTTAGCCGACTCATAAATGTCAGCAATATTTGCATTGGTGACGCTATATGGTTTGCAGCAGGCCAGGTTTACGGGGTCACAAATCTTTGCTATGCTGGAGATTTTGGAAATTTCCCATCGAGATGTTTCGTTCCAATGGAGAGTGCTACACTTACAAAACTGGCACTTGACATAAAACCATGGTGTAGTTTCTATTGTATTTTTTTTGTTACCATGGAAAAACTTTCCAAGACATCAATAGTTTTGCTATATGTTATTTCATTCATCATTATTTGTGGTTTCCGCGAAATGTTGGTATTTTTACGAAGCAAAAGTTTCGCTCTAAACTAACCTGTTTGTGTGCATTTTAATTAGACAGGTGGCAGGATGTTGATGATTAGTCTTGTACAAGTGTGTTAATATTTTAGTTTGGCTGGTAACTCTTAAGTAACTACAAATGCTGAAAAGATGCAAATGACGTTCCATATACATATGCTTAAATTCGAATGATTAATCTGAACTAGTATTATTTGAGTTTGAAACAACAACACAACCAGATGTTTGGCAGTACACCATTTTAATGTACATTGTAGATATGTGATATACCATAAGCAGGAAGACAACACAATAACGTACAACAAATGTATAAACTGTTCACTTCTAATACTGCAACATACACACAGGGACTTCGTACAGGAAATGCCATTTGGTAGCACCAACAATGATGTAAAAGCTTCAGCAAGACACGTCTAACAAACATAACAAGCATTAACAATATAGCATATTTAAACCACACATATACACCAGTCATTTACAAAACAATACTGTGGAAAAACCAAATCAATAATGCTTAATTCGATTTCTGGATCTTTGGAATTCTGACGAATTGGTGGGTTTTTTTGGCGTAGAATACATGTTGAATATTTCCTCATTCATACTATAACAGCATATGTAGCGTTTGTGTTGTGACAGAATCTACTGACACGTATTGATGGAAGAGAATTGTTTTTGTATAAATATGAAGAGGAACGAAACTTCAGAATCTAATGAAAATTATTGATAGTGTAGAAAGAATGCATCGACAGTTACTGATGGAAAAGAAGTAATCTACTAATAACTATTGTGAAGAGGAACGAAACTTCAGAAAACTGATACTGACTCAGGAAAAGAGTCCACTGACCACTTCTATTGATGAACAGGAAAGAATCCTACGGAATCGACTATTGACGAAGGGAAAAGAATCTACCGAAAACTGGTATTTTGAAATTCACTATTGAACGAAAGGAAAATCTACTAGAGATGGCGAGGTAAAAAAAAACCCGAAATCTTCTACTGACCAGAATCTTCTATCCAGAAGGAAATAATGTACTGAAGAGAATCTTCTATTGGCTGAAGAATTTACTGACGAGTATCGTCTATTGGCTGAAGAAAGAATTTACTGAAAAAATCTTCTATTGACCGAGGAAAGAATTTACTGACGAGAATCTTCTACTGACAGAGGAAAGAATTTACTGACAATATCTTCTATTGATAGAGAAATAGTTTACTGACGAGAATCTTCTATTGACAGAAAATATTTTCTGGCGACTGTTATTGTGAGGAAACAATCTAATGAACGATACTGTTGAAAGATGTATTAGAAATATAAAACTGACCGAAATGAATCAAGATTAATTAAAAAATCAACCTCTATTTACTACTTGAGAGGCAAGAGTAGCTTCTTTCCATGTAACCACACTATATAAATCACGTGAAGGTATTTTAAGGAATATCTGTTCAAAATAATATAATGGCAGTTCAGATAACAAAATATACATGCAACTTTAAAGATCGCTGATCATCTTAAACTTGGTTTATCAGAAACGAACTAAATTCAAAATTCATTTTACATGTATTATATGATATTTGCCTGAACAAAATCGGTATGTCAAGTTGTTGGAAGTGCAACACAAACGTTTCATTATGTCAATATCTCCTTTGGAGTTTCAAGTAACCATGGATATATTTTTCGAAGTAGCACATTGAAAATTATTTCGCTAAATAAGCGCCAGACAGGAAATTATGTAAAAAATCAATGATAGCACAAAAATGGAGAATAATTAATAGAAGATGTGATGATGTTCAGCCGACTCGCACTGTCTCGTAAAAGTGTGGAAGAACGCCCACACCAACCGTCACCTATCATACAGACGTGTATGATGAACTAAGCTAGCTAACATATATAATGGTAAAATATTTAAAGAAACACTCCACTATTTACAGGTAATGTAGTATGATCCTTGACTTCTAGTAAATGTGTATTCACTAGCCGTATGGAGTTAATAGGTACCAGCATAACAATAGTTTTCCTATGGAACAATGTGTATATTTCTATATTCAGTAACACACGTAGCTGTAAGCCCATAGTAAACGTGAACACTTTCGCTTGCAGAAAAACTTATGCTTATTTTGCACCCAACGTAAACGTGACTATTCACAATGTAAAAATCACGGCGCTCACAAAATGTACACAGACGCAAAAGATGCTGTGTGTGCAGCTTTACAATAACCCATTTTTAAAGCTAGTATCACCAGGTGGTGTGGACTGTGTCATGTCACGTAAAGATGCCACCACTACAGACGGCTTGTGTGTAGTGATCGGTAATTAAATGTGATTCTGCGTGGAAAGTGATCACATGTGAAAACAATCGAATTTTTGCTATTGACAGTAATCCATATCGAACAAATAGGTACATACTTATTACAGTTTATAAATGTAAACATATCACTCACACACAAAAGTTGGAACTAGTATACACTTAATGAATGTGTAGTTAAATACGGCTATACAGCCATCATGTCACGTGCCCTTAACCATAGGTTGTACTGGTACTGACCAGGATGATTACACAGGTTAGAGTGGGTTGTATTATTGTATTTAGTCGTCGAATGACACCGGGCATGTAATTCCATGCCATGTTACTTAGTAAAATACAATGATGGCAAAAACAAGTTTTGTGAACAAATCGTTAAATCACAATGATAGCTAACACAATATCTGTTACAAAAGATGTATTGTAATTTAAAAAAAAAAAAAATGAATTAAGGTGGTACACTAGAAATCTATTGACCCGATTTATCCCGAGCTCTGCAGTATCATAACTGCCTAAATACATCCATATTTGTGTTTGTATATTTTTCTTGGAGCCAAAAGCTTTGACAATTATCACGTTTAACGATTATGTTTTCATTAACATTTCACCGAATAATTATTGTACTATTATAATTAAGGTGTTTTACAGTTTAATTTAACTTTCAAAGTTTGTGACTATTTCCTACAGGTATGACAACAAATAAGGGTTTCAACGTACACTCCATGTACTGTATATTTGTGCAACCCTGGTTACACAACACAACAGATATTAACACGAGTGTAAACACCGGACAACACTTATTGCTTATTAAGAAGTTTTGACATCTGCATGGCTAAAAAACCAGCTGAGTATCAAACACTTGTCATAAAATTGGAACATAAAAAAATCAGTTTGATGACTTCATATAACTTAATAAAACTATATTTAAAACCTGTGTGCAATTCAAACAATTTTGCATAAAAACTGTCAAGTAAAACAAATGTATACAATCTATTTTCATGTTAAATAACAATCATATTTAATATGATGAAAAGAGGTTAACTTCTTTACAATTCATGTAAACTGGTAAAAAAACCAAGGTAAAATTGTATGTTCAGTCTAGCCCGAAGTTGCTACTGTACATTTTCAGAATATAAACAAAACAAGATTTAGATAAAAACAACTTTAGACATTTCATTAAAAAAAACTAAAACCTTCATCTTTTCAGCTGTGTCATCTTTTAACATCCATCCCCTTTGTTAGCTGTCTCTATGGTATCTTTCACCCTTCCCTTGTTCGATTATCTTCCCTTTTGTTCAGTAGACTAAGAGGACGCCTCTCCCCCAATGTGCCACGGTCTTCTCTTCTTTAACTGTCTTTTCCGTATTTAACTATTTCCCTCGTCTGAAGGTCCACCTCCTTCTTTGATTTTCCTTCAAATCCCTTGTTTTCCACATGTTTAACCCCACGTTTCGTTGACAAACCCTTTTCCTCTCCTTGCTGACCTTTTTCTACCCTTGTTTCGTTGACAAACCCTTTTCCTCTCCTTGCTGACCTTTTTCTACCCTTGTTTCGTTGACAAACCCTTTTCCTCTCCTTGCTGACCTTTCTCTACCCTTGTTTCGTTGACTAACCCTTTCCCTATCCTTGTTGGACTTTTTCTCTATCCTTGCTTGTGATAAAAACTTTCCAAATATTTAACCGTCGAATTATTTTTTCCCATATACAGCCTAAGCTCAGTTACCTCTTGTTAACTTGCCTCTCAAGGGGTAAAGTGTGCTCCTTTTCGTTGTTCGAATCGCTTTGAATGCTTTCCCAAATTTCCTTTTACATTTACATTATTATGTTGAAAAATATAGCTTGGTTTTTAAAATTTATTTTTAAAAAAAAATCAAATAATTAAAAAAAATGTAATTTAGAAAGTAAACGATACAACCTTTTTACAACCAAATGGGAAGAGGAGCAAACATGTTTCCAAGCATAGTGATATATTTAATATTTTTGCTGTCGCTTTCCTTAAGCATGTACGTGTTCGATCAATGTTCAACAAATTGTAGACAGAAACTAAAATGTACTTGTGTACTACAATTTATATGATCGAAATCAACCAAATGTAACATGACATGCAAAGGTATCTTACACAGATGAAATTTAGATCATACTCAATAAATAATATTCAACAGTGTAAGTTGATGGAAGATCAGTTCAAGTAATTCACATGTCTTACTGAAGTAAGAAAAATACACTGTACAAACCCTTTGTTCTAAAATTTATCAAATAACTGTGTCAGGGAACATGGAGTTTAGAGAATACCACTACCGTTGAACCTACCAATGTATGTGTGATAATGATAAAAAAGAGTGGCCAGAAGATAGCATTACCCTCTCTTGATGTCACGAATAAAAATGTGATGCTGAGACAGAGTGGCTGAAGTACAACTTGATCCATTATCCTACCCAAAACCAAGCACGATACAGAGACGGTGATTTGTTTGCGATTACACGGCCACACAAATCATCAATGAACAGATACAAGTGTATCACAACATAAAAACGCTGGTAGAATTGGCTAGCCTACAATAACTTATATGGTACGTGTATCATTACTTGTTTGGTCCTAACTGTTATATAACAAAACCATAATCTCTGGTTGTCATTTAGTTCTGTGAGGATCGGGTGGTGATCACAGAGATTATGGTAGAACAATTACTCAGAGAGGTCCGAATTGTGGCAGTCAATATACCTATATGTGAAATGTGGCCACATCAAGCTATGTGCGGTATGACAAAAACAGGTCTGTGGTAAGATGACATTCTGTGTGTGTTATGTACTTGATGTTAAATAAAGGCTCCGTTAGTTACTTGCAGGACTATGTTTATACTTTGGGACTACTGTGTGGTATGACCTGTGGTTCTGTATGAGCTATGGTTTTGTAAGGTGTGTGGTTTAATATAGGGTTTTCTGACACCGTCTGGTATGACCCATGGTTATGAGGTCTGTGATATGACTTCTGAGGTATTATGACTTTTGTTCATTGAGGTTGTGATCTACGGTTTTGGTATGAACTTATTTTCTGTGAGGTATGCGATATCACCTTTAGCAGCGTGGTATGACTTTTGGTTTTGTAAGGTCATGGTATATATATAACCCATGGTTTCATTATGTCTGTGATATGACCTACCTATTGGTGTTTTGGGATTTGTTATATGAACTGTACTGCGGCAAGGTCGTAGGTTGACCAATAGTTTCGTGTATACCTTATTGTTCTTTGAGGTATGCGGTGTGAACTATGTCTGTGTGATATAACCTGTGGTTTTGTGAGATTGTGGTATGACATGATTGCAAGGTCAGATCTGTGGTTATAAGAAGAAATTGTATGACTAAATGTATGGCGAGGTATGTGGAAAACATCCGTGGGATGACCGGTGGATCTAAAAGCTCGTGGTTTGACTTTTGTTTTTGTGAGTTGTATGAGAGAAACGTGTATGATCTGTGGTTAGGTGAGGTCCGTGTTTGGAACTTTGGTTCTGTGAAACTTATCTTGTGTTTTTCCCCTTGTGTTGTCCAGGAACCCCAGCCTTTTGTAGGCGCTGCACCAATTGTTTACATGGAGGGGGAAGGGGAGACCCATCCCTCAGTTGCAGGACCGATTTTTGCATGAAATTGTAGGTGTTATGGAGAGTCTTTGGATATTGCATGTTGAAGACCCAGTATGATGCAAACAGTGTAGCAAAAGCGATAGTAAATTCCTCGAACTCCTGAACGATCTCTTCCTCAACGACCAGTACAAACTCGTCACTGTGGAACAGTGGACCTTTCGACACAAGAATTGGGACGATTTTCCCTTTGGGATCCACAGTGTCCTCCTCCCCGATCTCACGTACCATTTCTACAAGGTTTTCCTTGAGGAGAAGCGGTACCAGACACAGTGCTGTCACCATGTCCCAGTACTGCTTTAATGCTGCATTCTGTTGTTTGATGGTGTCCGCCTGGCGGAGGATTGGGTTGGACCCCGACACGTGCTTGGCGATGTCAATTATTGCGTTAGCGTACTTAACACAGTACTCTTGAATGGTGTGGTCTATATCTATATTTGTCACACGCTGGAATTCGGCTAGCATTTGTCTCCCCTGAAATAGCTGGGGGTAAGTCTCTTTTAACGTTGCCACAGTGGGCATTTCCATGGTAATAAATGTTCGTCGAATGTCAAATGTTTCCTCCATATAAAGCTGAATTTCTTCTGGACTTTTCTCTTCACCAGAAGAACTTGATTCCCCTGATGAAACTTTGGCTTTCTTTTCTGGAGATATCTCGATGTTTACAGCTTCCTTTACAGTACGTTCAAGCGCGGTCGTGGATGGACCGGGCACAACCTCAGCAGTCATCATGGCAGTCTTTCGCTTAGCTCTCTGGGACATGACCTTGACACAGACTTTAGGGTCACAGTCAGGTCAAATGACCATCTGTAAGTACAAAAAAAATGTGTTATAGTTCATTACAGCACTTAAAGAGATATGTCAGAAGCAGCTACCTGCCATTTTTGACAAAAAGAACTTGTGCAGTCAGGTTGATGTAATGCTTTTTATGTGTGATATATATATACTCACTATCACATTAATTAGTGAAATGTTAGTAATTAGAATTTAATGTATGGCTATCCTGACAGCTTACCCTTTATCATCTCGAATCCCTGATATCAACTAAACTAGGAATATGATTAACAAGAGGCCCATGGGCCTTAACGGTCACCTGATATATTTATACAGAGAGTTGATTTTGTTTTTAACATGAACAGAAATGTTATTCAAAGTGACAAAAAAACAATAAAACCACCTTATTCAATATCTAGCATACAGATTTCAGACAAAAAAGTATTTGAAACTAGCACCTCTGATTCTAAACAAGGAAAATTAAGAAATTTTAGCACAATGACTCCTTTGAGCCCCACCCTACAGCTCTTGGGGGTAGGGCTGGCTCAAAATTTTCAAAGTATCAAATTGTTAACTCAAGGTTATAATTCCAATCAAGTTATTAACATGTAATAGTCAAAGTATCATTTGCCATTATAAACCATAATACATTTTGCCCCCTCCCCCCTCTTTTCCCAGGGGGTAAACTGAGACCCTAGGGTCATAAACCTGAATCCCCTTCCATCTATGAAGAGTATTTGATTCTACCATATCTGGGTCTTGAGAAGAAGATTTTTGAAATTTCAGTAAATTCGACCCTTTGTGGCCCCACCTATCAGCCCCTGGGGGTCAGTCAGGGCTGATATGTGCTTATTATCAAACTGCTACCTTATAGTGATAATGCTAACCTAAATTGAATTACTTTCAATGGAAATTAAACAAATGTTGGTCCAAAATGTGATTTCCCTATATAAACTATAGTAACTATTTTTTGAAATTTTAGTCAATATGACCCTTTTTGGCCCCGCCCCTCAGGCCCCTGGGGGCCTGGGACTAAACCGGCCACTATTTTTGTTGACCTTTGTCCATGGAAGGTCCCTGCAAAATTTCATTGAAATTGGTTCGGGGTTTTGGAGGAGAAGTTGAAAATGTTAATTGTTTACGGACGCACGACTGACGGACGGACGACGGACGACGACGGACAAAAGGCAATCGCAATAGGTCACTTGAGACTTTGTCTCAGGTGATCTAAAAAGCATTGAGGGCTTATGACTGATACCAGATTGAGGGATGATAAAGGACGAGGTACCAGGATAGCCCTGTCACAAGCATTTTATAATATATTTGACAACAAACAGATGAAAATCCAACAACTCAACAAGAATAATTACAAACCAACAAGTGACATATCTTTATAAAATTCTAGGTGAACGTTTATATTTTCTGCTATTATCTAGTACTGTATTTGACAAGAATTAATATCAGCCAACCACAGTTATCAATCCGAGAAAAAATATGTATTGGCGCGGACTTTGATTCCAGAACAAACAACTATATAAAAAGTGAAAAATGCCAGAAATAAATGTGCGATAATTAAGGGTTGCACAATATGATATTTAAGTATTTTAAAGTATATATGTACTGCCAAAAGAGGCTAAACTGCAGTTAGCTATTTATAGTAAAACATCATGTAATAGGATGGTATGTGAAGATAATTACAAGGCAAGCAAATGGTGGTTTTACAGGAATACTACCATTATATGCGCCCTGTCTGGTACGACAAAACTCTACTTACATGACATAAAACCAACATATATGCAATATGATACTTATTGCCATTTGTAGTTCTATAAATTGAATTTTACTTTTTTTTTATTTAGTCGTAATGCAAAGCGAACGTAAACCTAATTTTATATTCTACTCTTATATTTCATTGTTCTCTGTTCAGTGCTGAGTTAAAGCAGCTGCAGTTAGTTTTACTACAGTACATTGCAATTGTTGTCTGTTGTTGTGATCTAGCAAAGGCAATACACAAATGATGTATACACTAATTAAGCGTTATATTATACAAAAGATGTTAGCACTAATGAAGCGTGGTATTACACAAAAGATGTATCCACTAATGAAGCGTGGTATTACACAAAAAATGTATCCACTAATGAAGCGTGGTATTACATAAAAGATGTTTACACTAATGAAGCGTGATATTACATAAAAGATGTTTACACTAATGAAGCATGGTATTACACAAAAGATGTATCCACTAATGAAGCGTGGTATTACACAAAAGATGTATCCACTAATGAAGCGTGGTATTACACAAAAAAATGTATCCACTAATGAAGCGTGATATTACATAAAAGATGTTTACACTAATGAAGCGTGATATTACACAAAAGATGTTTACACTAATGAAGCGTGATATTACATAAAAGACTATACACTAATGAAGCGTGATATTACACAAAAGATGTTTACACTAATGAAGCGTGGTATTACACAAAAGATGTATACACTAATGAAGCGTAATATTACATAAAAGATGTTTACACTAATGAAGCATGGTATTACACAAAAGATGTATCCACTAATGAAGCGTGATATTACATAAAGGATGTTTACACTAATGAAGCGTGATATTACATAAAAGATGTTTACACTAATAAGGCGTGATATTACACAAAAGATGTATACACTAATGAAGCGTGGTATTACACAAAAGATGTATACACTAATGAAGCGTGATATTACATAAAAGATGTTTACACTAATGAAGGTGGTATTACACTAAAGATGTATACACTAATGAAGCGTGATATTTTACAAAAGATGTATACACTAATGAAGCGTTATAATACACAAAAGACGTATACACTAATGAAGCGTTATAATACACAAAAGATGTTAGCACTAATGAAGCGTGATATTACACAAAAGATGTATACACTAATGAAGCGTGGTATTACACAAAAGATGTATCCACTAATGAAGCGTGATATTACATAAAAGATGTTTACACTTATGAAGCGTGATATTACACAAAAGATGTATACACTAATGAAGCGTGATATTACATAAAAGATGTTTACACTAATGAAGCGTGATATTACACAAAAGATGTATACACTAATGAAGCGTGATATTACATAAAAGATGTTTACACTAATGAAGCGTGATATTACACAAAAGATGTATACACTAATGAAGCGTGATATTACACAAAAGATGTATACACTAATGAAGCGTGATATTACACAAAAGATGTATACACTAATGAAGCGTGATATTACACAAAAGATGTATACACTAATGAAGCGTGATATTACACAAAAGATGTATACACTAATGAAGCGTGATATTACACAAAAGATGTTTACACTAATGAAGCGTGATATTACACAAAAGATGTATACACTAATGAAGCGTGATATTACACAAAAGATGTATACACTAATGAAGCGTGATATTACACAAAAGATGTATACACTAATGAAGCGTGATATTACACAAAAGATGTATACACTAATGAAGCGTGATATTACACAAAAGATGTATACACTAATGAAGCGTGATATTACACAAAAGATGTATACACTAATGAAGCGTGATATTACACAAAAGATGTATACACTAATGAAGCGTGATATTACACAAAAGATGTATACACTAATGAAGCGTGATATTACACAAAAGATGTATACACTAATGAAGCGTGATATTACACAAAAGATGTATACACTAATGAAGCGTGATATTACACAAAAGATGTATACACTAATGAAGCGTGATATTACACAAAAGATGTATACACTAATGAAGCGTGATATTACACAAAAGATGTATACACTAATGAAGCGTGATATTACACAAAAGATGTATACACTAATGAAGCGTGATATTACACAAAAGATGTATACACTAATGAAGCGTGATATTACACAAAAGATGTATACACTAATGAAGCGTGATATTACACAAAAGATGTATACACTAATGAAGCGTGATATTACACAAAAGATGTATACACTAATGAAGCGTGATATTACACAAAAGATGTATACACTAATGAAGCGCTATATTACACAAAAGATGTATACACTAATGAAGCGTGATATTTTACAACTGAATCCTCGTTATGTTAGATACACGTACATAATTCTCAGTAAAACATGACTTTTGTTAAATTGGAAGGATATCTGACATACAAAAGAATCTAAAGTATAGATTTTAATATATTTTGTACCGATTTATAGATTGCTAATCAGAATGAATTTAGAATTTGATTTGTTCAGGTTTAAGAGTTTATAGGTTCACAGAAATGTTATTCAATCCACTCCATGAAACATACTTTTTATTAATACGTAAGAAACAAGATGCTTTGATTAAAAATCAACATTAATCAATCTGTGATATGCTTTTAAAGAAGCTGAACAAGTACATAACGTTACTAAGTGTACATAGTTGTTTATTAATGCTGATGCAGTATGTCGGCCATGTTTTATAAGAATTTGGGCATTCACAACCCAGTGTAGAGGGTCATCCTGGTAACGCTTTACAACAAGAGTGGTTAGAGAACATCATAAGTCGCCTTTTTCAAGAATATTCAAAAGCAGTTCAAAAGATGCATAAATGTATTCAAAAATATAAAGATCAACACACAGAAAAATGCATAAAAATAAAAAATAAAAAGATTTCTCTCTCTCTCTCTCTGTGATCAAAACTGCATCACTGTCTGTCCTTTCGGGGATCTGCATACCAGTTATCAAACTCGTAACAAAAGTGGGAAAATAGTCCAAAACAGTTTTAAAAAAATTATGTTTAAAATTGTATATTTTCGTTTGGGCTGCATATCATTGTTGAATCTTTCACGAACGTTCTGTCAAATATTATCATTTTGGTACATTCACTTAAGTTAAATCCATGAATTTCAACACTTTTTCTATAACTTTTACATTGAAATTTAAAATAGATAAGTCAACAAAATAGAAACATTTTCTGTTTTGATTACACTGCCCCAATGTCTGACGCACATGACACGGCCATACTATTTGAAATATCAGCATCTTAACACAACAAAATAACTTGCATTTATGAATTATAAAGCTACTTGCTTTAAAACTTTAACCAGGTGTTTTTTGCGAAAAAAGTTAAGTCAAATACGGAACAAAACCTTGAAAAATGTTTTTCGATCGTTTTGTTATCCTCGTTGACAGCCCTTCTGCGTGGTAATACTTTTATCCCGTTTAGTCCTACATATTCCAGGAAAATGCACAAAATCTTTGATATAAGTTTTATCGAGTAAAACTTAAACGTACAATGCAGTCCGTAGCGACAATTTGGAAATATGGTCACCATTGTAGTTTTAGCAATAACAAATGGCTAATGGCGCTGCTTTACAGGGGTTACACTTGTACATTTCGTCAGCATCTATTGAATAACTAACACTCCAACATTACGACCGTACATGTAACAATCTACAAGCCATTATTGTGCTATAAATATTTAAAGAAAACTTGTTGTTTCATCAAAAAAGTCTCAAAAGTTATACCAGTGGATTTTACAATAATAAACAGAAAAACTACATAAAATCTTGAACACTTTCATCTAATGACTAGAAATGCAACAGGAAATTTCTGGAAGTGGAAACACTGTGAATAATAAAATACACAACATTTGATAATAATACCAATTTGTAGTGTGTTCAGGACATTTATAGATTTCTATACATACTGTAAATGCTCAAAACATTATCTGGATATTCGCTTTAAATAATATTTACCTTTTGAAATATGATCTCTTTGTGTGGCAATTAACACATCGATAACTCAACCAGATGCCTTTGAAAACATTTCACATAAACAAAACAAGAAGCTAGGCTGTATGGGGATACCTTTTCAAAGCTTCACATATCAAACGATACAGACCCTAACGATACAGAACCCTGTGACAGCTAGATGAAATTAATGGTAAAAGCATGAAATCTAATTTAGTCTGGTAAAAAATCGGTGCTGACATCATCTTCAAAACATACAAGACAGGAAAATATATACAGTATCCTACATGACGTTGTATCATGTCAAAATCACGCCGCTTCCAGACCTAGATTACTAGAGGTGCACACTCGTGCCTGACTTTTGTTATTCTTTACACACGGAACATATAAAAACTTTCATTCAGCTTATTGATCTACTTCCAACCTTTTCACTGCATCCAAAACCAAACTAAAATTGGAATCGGAATGGAAGAGAGGGGATATTTTCTTAAGCTGATGATTTTTACCTCATGGGAGAGGTATGATGCATGGCCTTTGGCTAGCGAAGATGAGGTAGGCTGCCAAAAGGAATTGTTGTCAACTTTATGCATCTACCCTATCCTGTCCACACAACCCTTCCCACGTCATTGACAATACTTGTAGTAGGAGAAGATATAATAAGTGTTTAATCTACCTAACGCGAGATGTTCAATCATTCGTACAGGTACCGAAGTATAATCACAGAATAGGAGTCCATATGTATATAATATCCCGTTCAGACATACGACCATAGCTAGAGCTACGACTAACACTTGGTAATGCTAAAACTGTCAGAGAGACATTGAAAAGTTGTCCGTCGTATACTTACTGACCAGGGAAATCCCGGCAGAGCCAATGTTATTCCGAAAATACCTGATTTTGCTTTGAGTCAGATGGGTTCAGACTACGTCAGTGTCAGCCTTACCGTACTGCGTAGTAGACCGACACAAAAGCTGACACAAAAGCTGTGTGCTTCCTTTTTCAATGTTGCCATCGTGTTGGAAAGCCATCAAAACGAGCTTCTGATATCGCTTGGACAAAGTAATGAGACGTGTTGGTCACCCATCAAAATAGATTAGTGTCTAGTGAGCCCTGACTGGGCGTGGCCTATATCGACCCCATAGCTATAAATTATAAAAATATTCAACTACGGGTACATCTGCCATACATGTACTGTGCACACAAGCAAAGGGAATTATCAATTAATCAGTGATATATATTGATTCAACAATGACGTATGTTTAAAGAAATAATTAGGTAGATTATCGCAGAAAAAAGGTTCAAAATTCTACACATTAAAAAAAAACAAATAAAAAACGTCACTGGTATCAAAATGTTAATTATTTTCCACTGTATATAAACGTATGTGTGTAACACATCACATCAGGCACATTCACTGTATGTACAAATTGTGTACGTGTGTGTGTGTGTACGTGTGCATACCACTTGATGCAGCCTGTGCATCATTGATTAATTGACACTTCTAAGGCAAGGGGAGACGACCCTGACTCCTAAGTGGTAGACTTCTATATTCTGGAACCAGGATTCTGCCAAGGGTGTAGAAATCAATAACATGGTTATTCATTGCAGCTGTGGTATATACGAGATTGGCCATGTCTATGTCCTGGACACTATATGATGGTATATATGTGTGCTATATGGACAGATGCTGGAAAGGTCGGTCCATGTCACAGTACTGGACACGGTGTGATGCCGAGTGTGCTACAGGGACAGGAAAGGCCAGTCCAGGTCACGTTTCTGGACACTGTGTGATGGTCTCATTGGTCTGTGTGCTGTATGTACAGATATGGGAAAGATCAGGCCTGGTGACAGTACTACAGGACACTGTGTGATGGTATGTGTGCTGCTTGGTCAGAGGTGGGAAAGGTCTGTCCATATCACGGTACACTGTGTGATGGTATGTGCGCTGTTAGAACAGATATGGGAAAGGTCAGTCCTGGTCACGGTACTAGACAACGTGTGATGGTATGTGCGCTGTTAGAACAGATATGGGAAAGGTCTGTCCATGTCACGGTACTAGACACGTGTGATGGTACATGTATGTGCGCTGTATGGACAGATGAGGGAAAGGTCAGTCCATGTCACAGTACTACAGGACACTGTGTGATGGTATGTGTGTTGTTTGGTCAGATGTGGAAAAGGTCAGTCCATGTCACAGTACTACAGGACACTGTTTGATGGTATGTGTGTCGTTTGGTCAGAGGCGGGAAAGGTCAGTCCATGTCACGGTTCACTGTGTGATGGTATTTGTGTTGTTTGGTCAGATATTGGAAAGGTCAGTCCATGTCACAGTGCTACAGGACACTGTGTGATGGTATGTGTG